CTGCTGTGAGACTGATTTCTCCTCTATCTCATCCTCCTTTAGTGGCATCCCACTTGTGCTTTATGTTGCTTTTCTGTTTAATTGGTTATGACCTGTGTCTGAGCTGAAGGTCTTTCCATGTTCCCCTAGTACCAGTGTCATTTCAGATATCCTGATTGCACTATGCTCTATTCATCTTTAGTTGCCTAAGTGACACTGTCCCAAATCTTTAGCTGACCTCCATCCAGCTGAATGTTGGACTGCTGCCTTTTGCCATTGCTTGTGAGAGAAGAAATTACTAAGAAGGAAACTGTCATCACTATTAATATTTCTTAGTAGTCCTATTCTTCCAATGCAATAAATCCCATCAAAATCCTTATTACTTGTTCCTATGATTTAGTTGTGGTTTGGGTGTGGGTTTTGTGTTTTGAGTTTGGTTTTTTTTTGTGTCAGCAGGGGCAGATTCTGTCCCTCACCTCTAAGATAATAAAACATTTATGATTGTAGCTTTCTAATATTTCACTCCTGTCAGCTGTACTAATGACTGTGAACTGAATCTTTCCTGGTATCATGTCCCTTGCTAGATGCATCTCATTTGTATTTGCAAGATCTGGTGCTGTGAATAGTCTTGCAGCATAAACAAATGTGGCCCTGATGCCTTACCCACTAACATATCCAAGACTTGCTGGACTTCTGCTTTGTTTACAACTACGTTCTCTTTACTCCTTAGGAAATGGTGGGTTCTCCAACATGTCCTTCATTATAAATTCTAATATGAAGTGCAAACATATCACTAGTCATTCCACAAATTCTGCAATTATGTATCAACACAAGTTCAAACTCTTTGGGTACACATTCTTTAAAAAAGTATATAGCTTAATGTGTAGTTACTTACCACACTCCCAATTTACTACAAATATCAGTGACAACCAGTAACACACATGGGTTTTTTATTAAAGGTCCTGGCTTTTACAATTTTAGACAATGGCAAAGAAGGCAATTTTGTTGTATTTTCAGAAAATTACTCTTTTATAAGAACATGCTCTTCTTTTAAAAAATACAATGGTGATTTCATCAAATTATGAACAAGTGAGTTTCTATGTTTACTACATAAGTGCCTTCATAGCACTGACAGCTTTAAGATCTCATGAGATAGGAGACTTTCACAACACATGAAAAATGTTGTGCTCAAACCAAAGAAACTTGGAGGTTTCTAACCAATCAACTTTTGAGGCTCAGAAATGAAACTCTTGAGCAATCAGGCAATATGTTTTAACAAGGCTAGGTGAGCTCTCTATAGAAGGAATGGTACTGTCATCACCTTTGTTGACATATTAGTTTCTCTTCAAACTTAAATTTCACAATTAAAAAAAAAAGGCATATCAGGAGGTGTCATTGTAATTGGAAACTTAGCAAAATACCAGCTTGCAAATGTTACTTTATGCTCCACACAGGTATTGAAAAGTGCTACTCAGGTACAAATACCAGTCACTCTACCCAGTTTAATCTGTTCCAGGGGCTGCATCAGCCAAACAGAGGAGACGACCTGACTGCCAGCACCCAGGATCTGTGGGCCTAAAGCCAGTCCCCATGATTCAGAAGGCTGGAGCCTGTGAGCACAGGTAAAAACCACTGTGGTTTCTGTGCTGAGAGAAGCTTTCAGGGACAAGAAGGGGGCATGAGGAAACAGGGCAAAGCAGCTATCCTTCAGCATGATTAATCCAATTACAGCGTGTGGACTTAAATACTAAGCTAAGTTCTCAGTTAAATGAATTAAAGCAGGAAGGGGCAACCTCTGGGTTTCTGGAGCACAAGATCATTGTGCCCTACCTACAGGATGTGTGTGGGCATGTGTGTGTGACTCAATCTCAGGCCATTCGTGAGAGTCAAGAGCTTGCTCCCGCAGAGTGGTTAATAACTGCTGGGTAGGTGGTAAAGATCAACTTCAAACAACTTAAAAAATCCTTGTACTCCTGCTCAGCCACCACTGCAGAGTCAGGAGGGCTAGGGGGGTGAAATATATGCAGGTGCTGGTGCTGAGAGGGAAGGCAGCAAGGGCTGTGATCTGCCTCTGCTAGCAGTGGTTCCCCAAAGGGTTTGGAGTTCAGCCAGGAATGTCAGAGGAACACTGGGACAAGCTCTGGTGCAGCCTGAGTGCCAGAGAGCACGGGCAAAACCTTGTCCTCACCCTCCAGCTCCTGAATGTACCAGGCAGGGCTGGGAGCAGCAGCAGTGTGCTAGGTCCATGTGCCACCAGGGTCAGGGCTGGTCACAGGCTGATGATGAGCCTGGACCTATTTTGACCAAGAACACAAGAGAAGTTCCTCAGGAGTCAAGCCAACAGGGAAGGCCAGAAAATTTCCATGGATGCTTGTTAACCTCCAAACAGGTGGTGGTGTAAAGATATGCTGCAGGACTGCTGCTGTTACAGTGTTGCTATTTAAGGGCTGAATAATACCCAGATATGGCTGTACTCTGGGTCACAGAAAGCAGAGAAAAATGCTTAGTGATATCCTCAGCCATTGTATGAGAGGTACCATGATTTAGACTGATTATTGTAAAAAAACCAAACTAACACACAATGAAACCCACACTGGCACACTGCATTTCCACAGCACACCATTCTGATGATGCTGTGTATCTCCCCTGCAGATTGCAGAACATCCAGTCCATCCATGCAGCCAAGGGGAGCTTGTGTGAAACTCCAGGGAATATCAGGCTACTTACTCTGGTTCTGTGAGGGGAGTTGTCTCATTTGGCTCATTCACTGGACTCCCATCTTCATGATTGGTAATTCTTTCATCCTCTGTTCTCATTTCCACTATTGGTTCTTTTGAACCATCTTTCCTAAAAAAAAAATTAAAAAAGACTTGGTCTCTTATAATCATATTAACCACATATATTGCACATAATCAGTTACCACTATCTTTCTCTCAAAAGTTGGCAAAGAAAAGGCAGAACTAATTATCAGTTACTAACATGACCAAGACACATTTACAGTGTGTTCCCAATTCCTTGAAGTCTTCAAAGCATCCTGTATCCATGGTTACTTACCTAACTCCACAAACATGATAAATTAGCATCTCAAAAGAGCATTTTGTTTATGAGGCAACAGCCTCTTCATGGGAATAGATGGAAACTTCCCTAACCTAGTATAATAAATATAGGACTTGTTAACTAGTTATACTTGAACTGTTCTGGCAGTGTTAAAGAGTCATTATGTTAGTATGCACACTGCAGAAATGTGCTTTAATCTCCAGAGATTGTGACACCCCCAGCTGCCAGAGTGGTGTAACGAGCCCTTGTGTGGTAAAAATCTAAACTCTTCTGTTTTCACTGTTAGAAAAAACTGTTTCTATGTCATACTTCCCCCATTTTAGGAACAAATGCTAGTCTCTTACTAGTAAGTGAATAACCATTGTGCTAATTAGTCAATAAATTATAAATTAGATGGAGCGGTGACTATTGTCATTATGCTTTTGTGGGTAATCACAGAATCGTAGAATACTTTGGGTTGGAAGGGACCTTTCAAGATTATCTAGTCCAACCTCACTGCAATAAGCAGGAACATCTTCAACCAAATCGAGTTGCTCAGAGCCTCATCCAACCTGACCTTGAATGTTTCCAGCAATGGGACATCTACCACTTCCCTGTGCAACCTGTTCCAGTCTCACTGTAAAAAAGTTATTCCTCATGCCCAATTTAAGTCTCCACTCTTTCACTTTAAAACCATTACCCCTTGTTCTATTGCTACATGCCCCTGTAAAAAGTTTGTCCAGTCTGTTTTGTAAGTTGCCTTTAAGTGATGAAAGGACACAAAAAGGTCTCTCTGGAGCTTTTTCTTCTCCAGGCTGAACAGCCCCAATTCTCTCAGCCTGACCTCACAGAGGGGTGCTCAATCCTTCTGATCATCTTTGTGACCTCCTCTGGATTTGCTCCAACAGGTCTATGTCTTTCCTTCACCAAGGATCCCAGAGCTGGATGCAATACTCCATGTAGGGTCTCACCAGAGTGGAGTAGAGGGACAGAATCACCTCTCTGGAATTTCCAGTCATGCTGCTATTGATGCAGTCCCAGGTAGCGTTGGCTTTCTGGGCTACAAGCACACATTGTTGGGTCATGTCCAGCTTTTCATGAACCAGCATCCCCAAGTCCTTCTCTGCAGGGCTGCTCTCAGTAATACAGCCATGATGTGAAAACAGCTGTTCACTGCTACAGAAGCATTAATACTAATTAATTAACACTAACTGTAACTACAAATTAACTTGCATATAACTTTACTCTCAAAAGGCAGATCAAAGGATACCCAAGATATATTTATTTCCAAATATAAAAACTCTCTCTGTGCAAATATTTCATCCCTATTCCTGCCATCAGACCAGGAATTGTATCCTGGAACTTCATCAGCTGCAGGCTGGAAACACAAGGTAACTGAGTTACAGATGAATAATCACTTTTATATTTAACAGACTATTTTCTGAACCTGTGATGTTCTAGAGTATAGTCAGACTCCTATGAGCCATAGCAAAGACCTGGCCAAATGCTTCTCTAATTCATATCTCACATTTTCATATTGTTTCTGACAAAATAATCACTAAACAGGCTTTTACAAGTACAATAATCCATCTCTTTGGGAAGTATCAGGAAAACTCTACCATCTTCTGGTAGATATCCTCAAGGAAAATCTTTGTAGGTTAATGAGAGTGTAGCACAGATACAGAAGGGAAGAATTAATGGGGAGAAGTCTAAAAAATTCTGGCTATTTAAAAAAAAAATCTGCATACCCTTATTCACCTCTGCAAATGACATTTAAAATACACAAATGGATACAAAGCTCCTTTCAGTAGATGATGCAATTAACTGTCATGGCTGCCTCATATCTGTGAAAAGATTATGGTTCTAAGTTGGACTGGTGAAAGGACTGGTAAATTCTGCTTGGTTTGTCAGTACATCTGCAGTCTTACAGGCAAACATACATTATTGCATGACGAAAAGCCTAAAAAGGTGTTATTTGTGAACAGTATTCACATGTATGTACTGAAGGCAGAAACTGCACAACATTTCAGAATTCCACAGAAGGGAAAGTGATTTGCAGGAAGTGCATTGTGTCATTTTTGTCCCAGGTGGCTCTGTATGTTTCATGTATTGTATCATCTACATTCATTACATATGAAACATAATTAATTACTACATATGTCCTACAATCAAGATGTTACCAAGAACCATACCACTCCAAAATCCAGAATGTGATCTGACATAGTTAAAACAGGAAAATGTCAGTGCCTTTTGCTGAATAGCAGCTGGCATTAAATAATCTCAAATTTTGACTCTTCAAATCTGTCTTGAAATTTTAGCCTGACAGTTTATTTATGCAGAGAACAGTCAAAGATTAGAACTGTCCCAAATATTTTAAGATCTGACTAACTGAAGACCACCACAACAAGGAAAGAGATATAATTAAATAAGATAGTTCTTCCTACAAAAGAAGTGTCATGGAAGAATTAATGCTAAGCAACCAGCTTTATGCTTTTCTGGGATAGCATGGAATGACATTTGGGTCTAAGATTTTGATAACAAGGTATAAACTGCTGTCAAGTGACATTTCCAGCTTTATCTCCCTAAGGTCTTCCCATTCAGGAGGGTCTGTACACCAATTCATACTTGGCCACTCCTTGAATGGGAAATTAAAGCATAAACTGAAGTGCTGTGGTGAACAGGAAAGGACAGATGAGTCAGAGCCAGGAGCTTCACATCTTGATTCTATTGATCCAGACAGGCTGGCTTCACACGATAGAAAAAATACTGTTATTCCTTCTCTCACTATAAGATGTGGAAAATAGTAAACAGTTATTTTATGGCATAACTTCTATTCAGAAGCATTATTTGATAAATTATTTGATAAATTTGATAAATAGTCTGTGCTTGCTACAATTGGCTTTGTTCCAAAGGGGAACCTTTTTTAAGAACCCAAAGAAGATGTGTAGTCAAGTTGCCTAAAAAAGACGCAGTCAGAAACCCAATAGCCAGAATTTAAACCAAAAAAGGCACTTACAGCTCCACTACTGGCAACAAACAATCCTGTGACAGCTATGAATAATGAAGGCTGCAAAATCTGTTCTGCTCTGGTGGATTGGATTTACCATTCCTGGAGGTTTTCAAGACGATATTAGATGTGGCACTTAGTGCCATGGTCTAGTAACAACAGTAGGGTTGGACTCAGTGATCTCTGAGGTCTCTTCCAACCAGGCTGATTCTATGATTCTATGATCTGGGGAAGGATATGATCTAGGAAGCTGCAGGACAATGAACCAGAAGGCCTGACTACTGCAAAGGGATTTACCATTCCTGGAGGTTTTCAAGACGATATTAGATGTGGCACTTAGTGCCATGGTCTAGTAACAACAGTAGGGTTGGACTCAGTGATCTCTGAGGTCTCTTCCAACCAGGCTGATTCTATGATTCTATGATCTGGGGAAGGATATGATCTAGGAAGCTGCAGGACAATGAACCAGAAGGCCTGACTACTGCAAAGGGCACACAGGAATTGGACTAGTAAATGTTACTTAAACCACACAAAGGCAGCATTCTCACAAATTATACAGTGTATGCATAAGCTGTCTACCAGATGAACATAATGAGGAGTTAATGCATTTTTTTAGCAGAACAGTGGAACTGCTTAAAATGAGGGACCATAATCCTCTCCCTGGTTACCTATTGAAAATCCTATGAATGTTTGGTGTCTATAGTATGATTATTGTATGCAATCAGTAACTGTTTTGCCAGAGATCTCACTATCCACTCATAATTTAAAGGGCCATATTGACACAGAAATGATCAGTTCATTCACATTTATCTGAGGGAGCAGCCACTACAGATGGTATTTGTGAGAATTGAGATTGTTTATTTCCCACTTATGTTTAGCTATCATTGATCATTGCTATGAAGAACAATCACACCACCATTACACCCACATCCAACTCAGCATTCTTACTTTTAAAAATTCAACAATACCTTTCATTACTAAAGTCTATGGACTAGAAAAAAGCTTTTTCATCAAGTGCCATATCTAAGAAGAAAAACTCTTTCATGGAATTTCTATAATGCTATGTCCTTCACTCCCAGATTTACTGGCACTGTCACAACCATATGCCGAGTTTTTGGGTATTAGCAGCTCAAAGATGGATTTGCCGAAATGGAGTTAAATTGTCAGATACCTGTTCCTCATGAGCCAAATATGTACCCGCAACTAGTAGTGAATTACAATTGATTTCCATTGTGTCAAGCTGGACAAAGAGGTCATCCTGAAGAGAGATATGGTAAATTCCTTTTTTTTGTGTCTCAATTTGTCTTTTAAAGGCAATAAACAATTCTATTTCAGAGCAACACTTTTCCAGATAATAGAAACATTTTATCAATTCCCTTTGCCACACCACAAAATGGCCATAAAGTTAATATAAGTTGGACAGGCAACTTTTAATGATATTTCCAACATACGTGATTAATACTCACAAGTAAGCAGCCTTTCCTTCTTCCAGTTCTTTACTTTTTCCACTTGAACCACTCTTTTTCCCACAGATTCTCCTGGTGATGCACATCAGCAATCCACATTGTCGTACAAAGAAGCAGCTAACATCTGTCACAACCAGGATTAACAAAAGGGCTGCCACTCCCAGGCCAATGACAGCACCAAGTCCGAGACCATTAAAAAGAGTGTCTTGAAGGAAAGAAAATTAATATTTATTAATAAAATTAATTTTAAAATAGCATTTTCTAAAGTTTTGAAGCTGTCAGCCAGAAGACTAAAGGATGTTTAGAAATGAACTATTCAGAAATTAATGGAAATAAACAGTCCTGAAGATCAAGCATGTTTACTACCTAATTTAAAATCACAAAACCCCTTTTCTTCTACATACTATTTTCCCATTGCCAAAATTCCAGTATGGTCACAGAGCATGACTGGCATAGTTTAATAACAAATATTATCACGTCTTACCATTCCATGACTGAGAGTATCAGTAAGCAGCCTAAGGAAAACATTTTAAATGTTCAACTTAATAATAGTTGATATAAGTTGTCACTTTTTATATATCAAATATAATTAGCATTGGTGTTCATTTTTTGAATTAGAGTGAAAAAGTCTTGAAAAAAGTTAATTAAAGCTATTTAATCTGCAAACAGTTGCACACACTTAGTCTGAAATGAATCATTATGAGGAAAAATATGCGTATCATAAAAAATTATAGGGTTAGTATCTCATTTCATATAGTCTTGTACCTTGAAAATGCAATCATACAATTCAATATAAACATTATTCCACACCCGATCTTGTTTTCTGTATCTGTATTATGAGAACTAATGCTTAGCTAATTTTACTTCATTGCAAATCTTAGGAAAAAAGTATTTTAATGTTGTGACTCAACTGATATTTCCGTAACAGACAGCAATGCCACAGAGTGTTTTGAATAGTGTGATTCTCAGAAGAACAACCACTATTTTGTCTGCAAACTCAGATGATGCTTATACAGGAGATGACAGGTATCTGATTGATAAACTGGGAAAAAAAACCAGCTCAGGAATGGTTCATACACCCAGCTCGTTCAAGATGTCAACCTAGCTCATAAATTGCCCAGTGACAATTGCTCTGTTTGATCCTGTCTTCAGCAAACTTCACAGGGTTGTGGAACTGGGATTTTTTTTGCCCATGAGTGTTGCACATCAGCATTGCTTATCTCATGTTATCATAGTTCCCATGCCTTGCAGTGATGCATGAGTCAGCAGTAACGAAGTATTTATACATTGTGCAAGTTTTTATTGTCCTGGTTGAAAACAAACTTATTTGAAATCATAAAAATTCAATGTTGATGTGAGAGAAATGGTTCTTAACAGCAAACAGCTCCTTTGCTGTGGCTGATCAGGGTGCAAGGACTGTGTGACATCCATCAAATGAAGAAAGAACTCTGTCCTGAGTAGCATGTGAAGGTACCATGTACTCAGCTTTTTTAGTGAGAATGGCATGATGCAGTAAGACTGTATAAACTAGAAGAGGAACCATATCTTAGCATTGTAAAAGAGTGTCCAACTACTAAGCACTTACTAAGATAAAAATCATGGCAGGCAAAAAAGAGTAAAGACCATGACCTTTTTTTAGCAATTTATACCAATAAGACTTGGCTTTTGAGCCAGGTAAGTGCCCAGAAGCTACATGCCTACCTTCAAATAAAATAAAACAAAAAAACCTACTACAATTGCAATATCAACTTGTAAAAAATTATTATGATTCTGTGCAACATTTACTGGGGGACTTTTTGATGCAAAAGAGAATGTGACAGAAAGCAATATTCTTTTCTATCCTGTTCCTTAATACAAAGGATGCTAACAAGGCTGTAACTGACATTAATTTTAATGCTTTTTCTTCTTCAGTGATTTTTCCTATAACTCTCTGCTAGGACAGATACTGCTGAAGGGCAGTGAACAAGTGCATGAGGATGTGTGCTCTGTACTGCGCAATTGAGTAATATGTTCTGACAGATCTGCTTGACACACAGCTTTGAAAAATAAGCGACAGTATCATTGACTCTGATGTAACTAACTAAAGAGAAGGCTTCCTCTAACTTTCTTCTACCCATAAATGACAGATCATCATTGTCTACAATCTCCAGAGAAATCTAAGTTGGATTGCAGTGGAGTTTCAGTGATTTCACTGGCAGCAGAGATGAGCATTCACAGTCAAGGGAGTCTGTGGTGCCACCAGGACTATCATACAGATGTGAGCTACTGAAATAAGTGCATCTAAAACAGTATCTGTCAGAAATATTATTCTTTTCTGATACCTATCTGAGTGAGGTGTTTTTTCTTATGGCTGAGACCCTCTGGCCAGCAAGTTTTCTAAAATTACTTTTTTCCTTTAAATTTTACAGGAAAATTTATTGTATTTCTGCATACCTTTCAAAATACTAAGTAGGACTTGAGTTCTCATTTACTCTATTAGCCCTTTACAGCATTCCTCATATGAAGATATCTTAACAAAGACATAAATGAAATAGTATTTATAAAATATATAGAATGTAAATAGCAGCTCAAGTGTTCCTGCCAACATCTTGTTTTGTGGCCATTGAGGGATAACAAGGGAAAGGAAAGGCCCTGTTTACTACAAGAAGCGTGCTGTGTTGTGAATATATTCTCTGGAGTTGTTGCTTTTTATTTTTTAAGAAAAGTTTAAAAAACATTTTTCCTGGCATCGATAAATTACCCCTAAATAGCCTTCAGAAATATTTCTAATATGCCTAAAGAGTTATCAGGTAGCTCCAGTTCCTTCTCTCATGCATTTACTCAGTCACTGTAGCAAAGAGCATTTTTTTTCCCCACTGCCTACTTCTATGGGAAGCCCTAGAGAAAAGCAGGCAGAGAGATCCCAGCCCTCCTGTGCACTGAGGGGGAAACATTGCACAAAACCAGCAGCATTGTGGGGTTTATGGCATCAGCACTGCACCCAGGTTTCAGAAGGCCTTGCAGAAGAAAGTTTCTGTGGCCCAGTTTCCTCCATTCAAACTGACAGCAGATTTACTGAACACGTCTCTTGGAGGAATTCTAAGAACCTCTGCAGATTAATTAAGACTGACATGGGGATTGGGAACATACACTTATATGTGGTTTCAGCACTGCTGTTACATAAAAGGATAAATTATTTTAATTGCTTTATTTAGGAGAATTCAAAATCTCACTGTGCACATACCACAGAGACCTGAGAGATTTTTATATCTTTGTACTGAATGACAGCTGTAAGCAGAGCACTGTAGCCAGGAGACCTGAAGAAGAGTTGAACTATCTTGGGATTGTATTTGAATTGATAAAATATTTCAAGTTTGACAGTATTTTCATTAAGCTATATGCAAATTCAAGCACAACAGTTTTGACAAGTAATCCTTGGAATAATGCAACATTAGCTACAAAAAGAACAGTTTAATATTAGAGTGCTGCCCATATATGGTGCATGCTTTTACTTGAAACAGTTACACTGCTACAACTGCAACTATCAGCAGAGTTCTATTTGGTAGGAAAGTATCGTGTACAATATAGTTTCTCCCAGTATTAAAACATTTGCCTTTGTGGATACAATCAGGCAGGTTAAATCAGTATGGAACAAGTGCCCAGGCTGCATATATATGTAAATTATATATATACACAGACATTTCACATACTTGTTCCATTAGTGCAGTAGCATCATAGCTACTTAATATAAACCAAACTTAATATTGAGGAATTCTAATGTTAGTGATTTTTTTGGGGTTTTTTTTGTTTGTTTGTTTGTTTTTTTAATGCTGGATTGTGGGTTTGGTATTTTTGGGGGGGAGGTGAGATATTTTAAAATATTCACTATTGGATAAAACTGTTCAAAATATTGAAACGAAACTTGAAAATCTCTTCAGTTACAAAATACATAAAGCAGATAATACAAGAAAAAAACAGCATTTATCAGTAATAAAGAAAGTACAGATAGAAATGCTTTAAGTCAGTTTTCTTTATTACAAAAATGAAGACAGAAGTTGCATAAACTAAAATGAACTTTGAATAACAGACGAAAGACGCACAAAGTTACATACATTTCTTGACATTGCATTTGGAAAGATGCTGAGGGATATTACAGTTACACTATGCACACATTCTTCAGGGAAAAAGCAGAGACGACAAGTGCTGCATGCATGAACGAAATCACCAGAGCAAAATGGTAGTGAAATATGAACAAGAGCAAAAAAAAAGCAATTGTTTCACAAATAAAATAAACTACTTTAAATCCAGATTTTTTTCCTTGCCTTTCACAGTGTTTCTGAAAAGGGGAACTCACAGACTCTGCAGTGTTTCTAATATTTTTCACAGGATTAGTTTTTAGTACATTGTATATATTTTCAGGTGTAATTGTCTTGGAAACATTCTCAGTGAAATTTACTTTGCTTGTATTACCAGGCACTTAATACATGTATTATAATTAAAGTTATATGAAAATAAAATATGCACTAGAAATTTTCTTTATGAAAATGTTAAACGTGTAAAATAAATATACACGACTGCTAATAAGAATATCATACAACATAATAGGACTATGGTGGCAAGAATTACTCCTGCAGTTTCTCAGGACTTTAGAACATGCAATAAATGAACAAAAATGGATATTCTTCCCTTAATTTCTTGATCTAGTTCTTATAAAATATCTAAGCGTAGTCTGGCTCTCAAGTGTACAGCTTCCATACAGCTACTGTTTCTAAACAGGCAAAGTTGGTAGATCTCTACACTTGATATCCGATGCAATCAGCTTTATTAGGATATTGCCATTGGCATTAAAAGGAAAAGGATTTTCCCTGTGAGTTTTCATCACTCATACATTAAATATGTACCAAAGGAAAACTAAACATTACTTATGTGCTTGGAGATCTGGAATGGATGAAGTAAAATGTGATAAGCATAAATGAGCTTCAGATGTAGCAAAGATCTCAGTGATGTCATTATATACCTCAGAAGCTACATTTGTCTTGATATTATTCAAATTATTTCCCAAAAGTAACATTTTTTTCCTTTGTTCCTAAAAATCCTGAAAAATGGAGCAATCAGAAGTCATCAGCATACTGATTAATGGGTAGAAGATTGGAGACTATTAGCACAATCACAAATAATATGAGTCTCCATTAAGTCTTTAAAAAAAATAAAGTTGCTTTGTTAGGC